CCGAAACCCTGCAGGGCCCAGCCCAGGTGCCCTCAACGTACCCCAGAGACCCCAGGGAGCAGAAGAACCTCCGAGGACCACATAAACACCCCAAGACCCTCCCAGGGACTCCACAAACACCCCAGAACCCCCCCCCAGGGATCCCACAAACAACCCAGGACCCCCCAGAGACCCCATAAACCCCACCCAGGAACCATGTGATCACCCCCGGCCACCCGGCCGAGGGGATGTTCCTGGTGCTGGGGGGCCGCGAGTGGTCCCTGAGTCTCCCCTGCACGGGCTGTGGGGGAGTCTGGTGATGGTGTTTTGTGCTCCCGGGAGCCGAGGGGCCGGGAATCCTTCTGGGTTCGGGAAGCACCGGGATCTCTGATGCCACATTTGGACAGCGCACCCCGGACATCCTCAGAGCGCCTTCTCCAGCCCAGGGATGGAGAATTGTTGTCTCCGAGGGGTTTAGGCTCTGCCAGGAGGGTTTGCAGCCGGAGCCAGCGATCCAAACTTCTCCATGCGCCGGAGGCAAAGCCCGGGATGAACGGCCCCTCCTCCTCCCGCAGCGGGTTTGACTCGTTCACTTGGAAACCCCACGGCCAAGATGCAAATCCAGCCCCTCCTCCGGTGTTCCCTGAAATGCAGGACGGGACTGGAAAGGCAGGATTGAACTAGACTCTCATCCTGCCCCGGTGATGGGAAAACAACTGATTCTGTGTCCAGCGAGGACGGGGGACACCAGCAGCCCCCCCAGGGCACAGCCGGGTGGTCCCTGGGGACCCCCAACAACCTCCTGCCCGGCCCTGGGGGTGGGATTGGACCAAAGCTGTCACTCCGAGGAGGAGGAGCAGGACAAGCAAAGCCCATTTTATCCACCTTTTCTATGGAATGTCACAGGGGGACCCCCAGGGAGGACAAACCAGAGGTGTCCTCAGCCTTGGAATGCTCCTGGGCTGCCCCTGCTGCCAAGGCACCTCTTTGGGATGAGTTTCACTTTGCCAAGAGGGAGGACTTTGCATGTGGAGCTGGAGCAGCCCCAGGGCTTCCTGAGCTGGTAAAAGGTGTTTCTGGTCCCTGGGAAGGGACATCCCATGGTGGGACTGTGTCACCTCCTCCCATCAGCTCCCCAGGACCCAGAGCAGAGGCTGCAAGGTGTTTCCAGACTAAAGGATGGATACATGGGGTGGGATGTCCACCAGCACTGCCTGAGGAGGAGGAGGCCGTGTGTGGAGAAGGGAGATGGGGTCGGCTGGTCACAGCCATGGGACAAACCCCGGGATCTGGGGACAAACCACAGGAGCCACTGATTTCATCCAGTTTATTTTCCTGCCTGTTGTTCCTGAGAGCAGCTCCAGCTTTATCTCCTCCAGCTCCCAGGGTGAGCAGAGCCCAGCCTGGGACAGTCCCTGTGCCAGGAACCAGGACAAAGAAGTCATGAGCAGCTCTGGGAAAGGGCAGAGCTGTGGCAGCACTGAACTGCTCCTCCTCCCCAGCTTCAGACGTCCCTCCACGACCATCTCCTGGAGATGCTGGCTGGGGCTCTGTTCCCTCTTTTTCCGGGTTTTCCAGGGTGTGGGAGCTGACACTCCCCAGGGCCCAACCGGCCCGACGAGAACTGGGGTGTGATCCCAGGATCCTCGGGAGCTGTGCTTTAGGAAAAACCCTGGAGCAGCTCACTTGCCACCAGCAACTCCCAGCACTGAGGATTTCTGGCAGGGATTCACCCCCCTGGAGCCTTTGGAAGTGCTGGGACAAGACCTGGGCTGTTTGTTTGCTCTTCATTTCCCCCGAGGGGACACAATGAGCTGCTCCAGACACGTTCCCACAGCTCCCTGCAGACATGTCCCCAGAGCCCTGTGCCCTCCCACCCTGGGCTGGGGCACAGGAGGGCTGGGGGGGGGCTGAGGGCACTTGGATTTTCCCGAAAAGACTCAGGAAAGCCATTTCTCTCCCAGCTACTCAGTCCTGGGGCACCAGGTCCCGGCTCCCTCCAGCCCCTCTGGCCAGGCCGTGTGTGACTCCGCCCTCAGGACACCTCACACTCCTCATTTCCCTCTGATCTGAGTTTTTTGGTTTGTTTTTATTTTTTTTTTTGAGTACAGAAGGAAAGGATGAGGCCTCTGCTGCAGAAAACAAACCCCCCCGGATGCCCCAGGGGAAGGTGGGGGACAGGAGCTCCATCCTCTGCTCTGGGCAGTTCTTCTTCGAGTACCTGGTGGTGGTGTCGCTCAAGAAGGTCTCAGAGGGACGCTACGAACCCAAAATCTCCTACCAATTCCCAAAGGTATTCGGTGCCTTGTTTCTGATCAGATCCAACCTTCCAAATTTAGAGGGGAAAAAAGGGGATGTTGTTCCCTCCCCATCATTAAATCCAGGGGAGGGGGAAGAAAAGAGAAAAACACCCTGTGCCCCAGAGGTGAGGGCTTTGCTGGGACTTTCTGTCCCTCCCATGTCCCCACCCGGGGCCACAGAGCCCAGCAGGAACCTCCCGGGGGGTCCCAGACCCCCTGCCCAAAATGGGGGAGCACAGTGGTGGAATCACACCTTGGAGAAGTGGCACAGGAGGAGACTCCCCCTTTGCAGGGGGAGCCTCAGCTTTGCCTCACTATCCATGGGGTGAGGGAGGGGGAAATTGGGGTTTGGGGATTGTCCAGGGACGTGCATCGGGCCCAGCCGGGGGTCACTCAGGACCCATCCCTGGGCATGATGGGCACCCCCCACCACCCTGACCCACCTCTCACCCCTTCACCCCCAGCGTGAGAACCTGCTGAAGGGCCAGAGGGAGGAGGAGGAACGTCTGCTCACAGCCATCCCCCTCTTCTGCTTCCCCGACGGCAACAACTGGGCCCCCGTCACCGAGTTCCCGAGTGTTGCCTCTGGGGCTGGGCTGGCTGGGCTGGGCTCCCCCACTCCTTACTGTGCTCCTGAAGGGCTAGATAGGACCATCCTGTGCCAGCCTATCCCATCGCCAGTCCCAGACCCAGCCCAGCACAGCCAGCCAGCCAGCCTGTCTCAGCCTTTAATCCCATCCCCTCCATCCCATCCCATCAACCCATCCATTCCCATCCCATCCCAGTCCCCAGCCATCCCATCCAATCCCTCCATCCCTAATCCATCCCCTCCCATTCCCATCCCCTCCCAGTCCCATCCCATCCATCCCATCCCATCCCATCCCATACCCCATCCCATCCCATCACATCACCATCACCTCGTCCATATCCCATCCCATCCCAGTCCATGACCAATTCCCAGTCGCATGCCCAGTCCATCCCATCCCCAGTCATTTCCCATCCGCAGCGCAGCCAGCCCATCCTCCCATCCCATCCATCCATCCATCCCATCACCATCCATCCCATTCCCATCCCATCCATCCCATCCATCCCATCCCATCCCTCATCCATCCATCCCATCCAGTGCATCCACATTCCCATCCCCTTCTCCATCCCATCCACATTCCCCGTCCCATCCCATCCCATCCCATCCATCCCCTCCGAGTCCCAGTCATCCCAGTCCATCCCGGTCCACTCCTAGCCCATCCCATCCATCCATCCACATCCATCCCAGTTCCATCCATTCCCAGCCCATCCCATTCCATCCATCCCATCCATCCATCCCCTCCCATCCCATCCCAGATCCATCAATCATCCAGCCTCGTGTTTTCTCTCCCTGCAGTGAAACCTTCTCGTTCGTGCTGACCAACGTGGACGGCAGCAGGAAGATCGGGTACTGCCGGAGGCTGCTGGTGAGGACCCCCCACACCCAGCCCAGGGCCAGCCCTGGGGGGACACAGCCCCCTGTGCCACCCCCCTGTGCCACACCCAGCCCAGGGTCAGCCCTGGGGGGACACAGCCCCCTGTGCCACCCCCCTGTGCCCTGCCCAGCCCGGGGACGTGCTCGGCGAGCTGCTGGGCAGAGCTGGTGACAACAACTGAGCTCTCCTGAGGGCTTGGTCAGATGCTGGATGGAGGAAAACATGAGTGCTCCCAAAATATGTGAATGTGGCACCTGGGGACAAGGTTTAGGGACGGACATGGTGGTGCTGGGCTGATGTCTGGGGTTGGGGATCTCGGAGGGCTTTTCCAGCCGTAACCATTCCATGATTCCCCGCGGATCTCCACAGCTGCCCTGCTCCTTTCCCTTGGCTCCAGTGGGTCAGCGTGGCTGCAAATCCCACCTGGGATCAGGGTGGGGTGTGGGGAGGGTGTCCATCCAGGAGCCAAGGAGCTGGGAGCCCTCAGCCCCATCCCCCAAAGGTGCCTCTGAGCAGAGGCTGAGTGTGAACCCGGGTTGGAGCAGCTCGGGGTTAGTGGGAGCTGGGCTGGTTTTCCTTGGCTGCTGGTTTGGACAGGGACATAAATCCACAGGGACATAAATCCACGGGGACATAAATCCACAGGGACATCCCTGTGCCATGTTTTGGGGCCTTCCTGGATCCCCCATCCCTCCATCCCTGGTGAACCTTCCCAGTTCATCATCCAGGGCCAAGCTCGGGCTGTGGGAACGGGATGTCTGGAGGGGGAAAGTGCAGGGAGCAAATGGACCCAGGATAGACCAGAAGGAAAGGGAAATAAAACCCAGGGAACTTGTCGTGGTGGTCCCTGCTGCAGCAGGAGGCAGGATTAGCCCCAAGGATGGTGGGACAGGATGTCTTGGAGAACATGTGTCCAGCTGGGAGGAGGGTTTGGGAATGTGCTCGAGGACTTTGCACCACAATAACACTCAGCTCTGGCCCCCAAATCACCCTGGTCAGGCACCCCCAGCTTCTCCAGCAGCAGCTGCATCCCTGGATTTGGGCCCAGCTCCCAAAATGCCCCAGGGAGCGACTGGGAATTCAGGGGAGGGGAGTGGGGTCTGTGTGCAGAGGGTGGGGCTGGTGCAGTGGGGTGGGAGGTGCTCAGACCCTTTTCCCATCCTCTTCCAGCCCTCTGGCCGGGGGGTCCGGCTCCCAGAGGTCTTCTGCATCATCAGCTGCCTGGGCTGCTTCGGGCTCTTCTCCAAGGTAGGGGTGTGCTGGCTCTGGGTGGAGGTGGCCCGTTTGTCCCAGTGGTGGCCCCATCTGATTCGTCCCAGTGATGACCCCATTTGAGCTGGTGATGGCCCCCTTTGTCCCAGTGGTGGCCCAGTGTTGACCCCCTTTGTCCCACTGTTGGCCCCCTTTGTCCCCGTGGTGGCCCCATCTGTCCGTCGGATGGCCCCGTGTGTCCGTGGGTGGCCCCAGCCCGCGGTCCGTGTCCTGCAGTGATTCCAGCTCCCTCCCTCCTGCAGATCCTGGACGAGGTGGAGAGCGGCGCAGATTCTCCATGGCCGTGATTCTACCCCTTCAATGCAGGGCCTGCGGGAATCGCCCTTCCCGGCTCCCGGGAAATCCGTCACCATCAGGAGCTTCATCCCCGAGTCGGGCACTGAGGTGGGGTCGAGGCCCCTCATGGGCATGGGGAGCCCGGGACATGCCAGGGAACGGGGGGGGGTGTTGAGCTCCTGGAGGCCTCATCCCATGGGAATGTGGGTGTCACCTCCCTCCTGATCCCACAAGGATGAGGATGGAGCCCATCCAGCCCCCCCAGCCCAGAGCTGGAGCTGCCACCCCAAAACTCCCCGATCATACCCCAGGACTGGCCCAGCCCTGAGGGAGAGGCCGTGCTGGGGGCTCCTGGGGGGCCCAGAGGTGCCAAGTCTCCTCCCTGACAGGGTGGCCAGGCCCTGGCACAGCTGTCAGGAGTCCCCATCCCTGGAATTGCTCATCCAGGCCGGGGATGTGGCACTTGGGGACGTGGTCGATGTGAACTGGGGCAGCTGGGCTCGATGCTCTCAGAGGGCTTTTCCAACCTTAATAATTCCATGATTCCACAATTCCACTCCCCTCCAGAGGTCTGTGCCCAGCTCCCAGCCCTGATCCCTGCCCTGCTTTATCCCTACAGGCAGGGATAAAGCAGCATTCCCAGCCTTTCCCTGTGGAGAGACCCGATCCAGGATCACCCCACCCCCGCCCAGCCCAGGCTGGCGCGGGCACAACCTTTAATTTGCTTTTCCTTTCTCCTGTGGCAAAGCTGGGCTGGAAAAATGGGAAAGGTCTCAGTGCTGGGCATCCCGAGGCTATGTCCTGCCAGGGAGGGGCCGGGGGAAGGCAGTTGGAGCAGCTGGAAAGCCAAGCCATGAATTTCTTCATCCAGGAAGGCTCTTGTGAAAGGGTTTCTCAACGCCCTGGCCTGGGGCCAGGCTGCCCCGAGAGCCACAGGGGGAGCAGGGAGGAGGAATGAGGATGTTCTTCGAAAGAGCTGCATCTGGGGCTCCAGGAAGGGGCTGGAGCAAGGCCAGGAGATCGGGGAGACAACAGGGAAAAGGGGGAAGATAAACTCTGGGAGCTGCCTGGGCTGGAGCCGGAGCTGGTGCAGGGGCTGTGCTGGGAAGGGGCCGTGCAGAACTGGCTGGAGCTCTGGCACCAGCTGGGAAGATGCTCCATGAGGTTGGAGAAGGGGGATTTCCCCCCCAAGGGTGAGGAGAGGGTCCTGTTAACCCTCCAGTGCCCCCCATCTCCTGCCTCCAACGGGACCAGCGGGTGTGGGAGACCCTTGGCAGGGGCAGGGGCAGCTGAGGGCGCAGAGCAGCTGCAAGGATCCATCAGATCCCTCCCTTCTGGGCCATCCTGGCTGGGAATTCCCAGCCCAGAGAGGGTGTAGAGGAAGGTGGTGTGGTTTTGGCAGCAAAAGTCACGCCCTCAGCCCTCCCCCCTTCCCGAGAAGCTGCTGCTCCCAGATGAGCTGAGGGGCACTGAGATGGGGCCTGTGTCCTACCAGGCATTTGGGTTAAAAATCCCAAATAAACAACCCCACCGAGCACATCCAGGTGGCCTCCCCTGCACCCCCAGCACAGCCCAACCGTCCCGGTGGGATGAGCTGGGATTTGTCCCTCTCACAGGGACACGGTGCAGAAGCTGCAAACCCGGGGCATCAACTGCTCCCAGATCACCTCCTGGGGGGCCAGGGCAGTGCAGGGGGATGTCACCCCCCTAAGCTGGGCTTTGTGGCTCTCCCCTGGCAGCTCATCGAGCTCACCCGGCCCGTGGACGCCCGCCTGGAGCACGTGGAATTCCAGGCTCTGCTCCAGCGGCTCAGCCCCGACCTCATCCTGCACATCTTCGCCTCGGCCGTGCTGGAGCGGAGGCTCATCTTCTTGGCAGAGGAGCTCAGGTGAGCCTGGAGCATTTTGGGATTAAAAAAACCCCCCAAAACCCCTGGAAGGAGCTCAGGGTGGGACGTTCTTCCCGAGCAGTGACATCCCTTTTCCTCCCTGGGTTAACCCAGCTGGTCAGAGCCTGGTGCCAGCCATGCCCAGGGGGTGGGTTTGATCCCTGGATCCGGAGTAGGACCTGCTCATCCTTGTGGGGCTCCTCCAACCCGAAATATTCTGTGTCCCTGCGATCCTGTGATCCCCCCCTGTGGCTCCCTGTCCCCAGTGTCCTGTCCCAGTGTATCCACGCCGTGGCTGCTCTGCTGTACCCCTTCACCTGGGCACACACCTACATCCCCGTGGTCCCCGAGTGCCTCCTGGACACCGTCTGCTGCCCCACGCCCTTCATGGTGGGCATCCAGCTGCGGCACCTGGAGCGGGTCCTGGAGCAGCCCATGGAGGAGGTACCCCACCCCCGGGAGGGGACAGTCCGTGACCCTGGGCTGGGTTGGCCCCGGGGCTGGAGGCTCCGGCTGTGCCCTTTTCCCAGCCAGGGAGGCTGGAAATGGGGAAATGGGACTTGGGAAATGGAGGTATCCTCCTTGTCCCCTCCTGTCGGTGCCAGGGGCGACCCCCTTCTCCCCCCCACCGAGCAGCAGCCCCGGGGCTCAGGGAGCTGCCCTGGGATCACCCTGAGCTGGAGGAAGCAGAGAAGGGGATGAGGCACCAAAGCTGCACCAAACCCCGGCCCTGGGGGGCTGCCCCCGACCCCCTGCCCGGGGCCCTTGGGCACAGAGGGGCTGATTCTTCTCCTGCCACCCACCCTGCACACACACCAGGCTCATCCCAAAGCAGGGGGAGGACGCTGGATGCCCTGGGAGGGCTGCCCCCGACCCCCTGCCCGGGGCCCTTGGGCACAGAGGGGCTGATTCTTCTCCTGCCACCCACCCTGCACACACACCAGGCTCATCCCAAAGCAGGGGGAGGACGCTGGATGCCCTGGGAGGGCTGAACCTGCTTCCCCCCTGCTCTCTTGCAGGCCCTGATGGTGGATCTGTGCCAAGGGAAGATCATCCGGGCGGTAGGTCCCCCCGGGAGGGCTGGAGGGGGCCTGGGAAGGGCCTTTTCCCCCTGGGTGTTGGATACCTGGCGGCTCTCACCTTTTTACATGGCTTCTCACTGCCAGAGGGCAGGGATAGATGGGATAGGGGGAGGGAATTCTCCCCTGGGAGGGTGGGGAGGGGCTGGGATGGAATTCCCAGAGAAGCCGTGGCTGCCCCATCCCTGGGAGTGTCCAGGGCCAGGCTGGAGCCACCTGGGATGGTGGGAGGTGTCCCTGCCCAGGGTAGGGGTGGGACTGGATTGGATTTAGGGTCCCTTCCCACCCAAACCCTCCTGGGATTCCGTGGTTCTGTGATTTTGGGGGCAGAGCCCCCTCAGTGTCCCCCCTAGGGAATGTCCCATGAGGGGACATCTCCAGGCACTGCTGGTTGTGAGCTGGAGCAGGAGGGTCCATCCCAGCCCCAGCATCCCCACAGCACCTTGCAATGACAATTAATTAATGAATTAATTACCTAATGAGCTTCTAAAGCCCCACCGGATGGGCTGTGCCAACTGCCAGCCACCCAGATCCCAGGAGTGCCGGGTGCTCCATGGCTCCCTGTCCTTCCAGGTGGGGGATGAGGAGCAGATCCTGCCCGTGAAGCTGCAGAACGAGATGCTGACGGCCCTGACCAAGCACAACTACAACAACAACGTGCTCAGTAAGGAAGGGTCTTTATTCCCACTAAACACAGGCCGGAGCTGCCCCAGGGCCCTCGGCCAAGGGATGCTCCCGAAGGGACCTGGCCCGGGATGCTCCTGCCCCTCTTTGCAGCCAAATGCAGCCACAGGAGGGAAATCCCTTGGCTTTTCCTCTGTCTGCTGAAACCTGTGAGCAGGAACAGCGAATTCTGCCAGAAAAATGAATCTTGGCCAATATAAAGGGTTTGGAAAGGAACAACAGCCAGGGCTCCCTCAGCAGAGTGGGTCTGGGGTTTGGTCACTGGCACAGGGGGATTGGAGTGAGTGATTCCTTGGGGTACAAACACAGAGCAGGGTAAAATATCATCCAATTATATATTATTGAGCCATTAGAGAGTGTCCGAAGGAGGCAACGAGGAGGGGGAAGGGCCTCAAGGGGCTGAGGGCACTTGGTGTGTTCAGCTGGAGCAGAGGAGACTGAGGGGAGACCTCACTGCAGTTCCAACTGCCTGGGCAGGGGCAGAGGAGGGGCAGGGACTGAGCTCTGCTCTG